GGCTTCCTCCCCTTCCCCTACAGCCTGTCCTGGCTCGACTCGCAGGCCGAGGGTCTCGCTCCTCTGACTCCCCAAAGAGACGCCCCCTCTGGACGTGCGCCCGGGACCCCGCCCGGGAGACCTGCCTGTCCTGGCCTCGCTCTCGGGGGCTGTGCAGGCGCGTCCTGGGCCGCAGGTGCCAGGGCGGTGACTGGGGCTCCCTCGCTCGAGCCCTGGGGAACCACACAGGTTCGATTTTTCCAGAAAAAGCCCAGTTTCCACTCTTTGAAGAAGGCTCTCTCCTGGCTTTTGCAAGTGAAGACGCGGGTGCCGGGCACACTCCGCGTGCGACTCTGGCGTGTGAGCGCTGACACGGGTCCGAATCCCAGCTCTGCGGCTGGGGCCGGGCGGGAGGCACCACCGCCGAGGCCACAGGACTCCGTGCCGGGGACGCGGGTGCCCGCACGGGGTTCACAGGGCCGGAAACATCCCATTCTCCCGGCTGACGGACGCTGGCTCCCCTCGGAGCAAAGGCTGCGGGCTCTGCGGCCGTAAGTTAATTAGCACGACTCCTGCTCCCTTGTTACTCCGAGATACGACGCTAATTCGGGAAGACACATGTTCACCCTGCAGTTGCGGCAGTTGCGAGCTCTGGGGGCCGGGCTTCATTAGGCGAGAGCAGCACCTAGCGTGCGGCCCTGCGGCCAGAGAGGGAGACATCATTCGATTACGGCCTCCGCCGCCCCCACCCCGCCCTGCCGCTCCCCGTCAACGGCCCCTCGGCGCAGGTGGACGGCGAACTGACCCTGCGTGACCTCCTCATGCCCCCGCGGGGCGGAGGCCGAGGGTCAGCGTCCGGCGGGGGTGAAGGAGACCCCGAGTCTGGAAGGACGGAGGCTTCCCCGCGGTGTCTCCCCGGCACAGGTCCACGCGAGGCGTGGACGCCGCACGTGTCTCAGCCCCTCCACGGGAGGGCGCGCGAGTGCTTCTCTGGCCGGAGGGGCTCCCGGGGGCCGTGTCCTGCCACCCAACCACGCGCACCCCGGGGACTTCGGTGTGGAGTCGGGGAGGTCGGAGGCAGGAGGGAGCCGGGACGCGAGGGCAGGCATCGGGAAGGCGGAGGACAGCCCGGCGCCGAGGGTGTGGACGGGCCCTGAGGGCCGGGCAGGTGAGGACGCAGAGGGCCGGCGTTGGCGAGGGCGGGGAGAGGGCGGCGTCCGGCAGGCAGGGCGGGAGGACTGCTCACGCCTGGGGTGGCTGGAATGCCTCTGCCGCTCCACGTCTCCTGGCAGAAAAGACGACCAACTGCGAGTCTGGTGCCAGCAAAGGTTAACGAGACTTTCTAGAAACTTAACAATTATTATCATTATTATTGAGACAGAGTCTCACTCTGTTGCCCGGGCTAGAGTGCCGTGGCGTCAGCCTAGCTCACAGCAGCCTCCAACTCCTCGGCTCAAGCGATCCTCCTGCTTCAGCCTCCCAAGTGGCTGGGATTGCAGGCAAGGGCCACCATGCCCGGCTAATTTTTTCTATATGTTTTGAGTTGGCCAATTAATTTTCTTTCTAGTTTTAGTAGAGACGGGGTCTTGCTCTTGCTCAGGTTTTGGACTCCTGACCTTGAGCGTTCCTCCCGCCTCAGCCTCCCAGAGTGCTAGGATCACAGGCGTGAGCCACCGGGCCCGGCCTAGAAGCTCAGGAATTATCATGCTGGACGACAAGTCTGGAGCGAGAAGAGACACATCCCCTCTGCAGAAGCATTCGGACACTCTCCGTTGCTGCTCCGTCTTCCAGCAGGGGCGGGTGACGCCAGTCCTGGGTGCGGCCCGTGCAGAGAGCCCGGGCGGGGCCTCCCACGGAGACACCCACCACCCAGCCCGGCCCGGCAGCGTCTCCTGTTGTGAGCCGAGGCAGCCATGTGGCCCCGGACGGGATGCGCCGGGAGTGGCCGGGGCTTCCTCCCCGAACCTAGAGCCCGGTCTGCGTGAGAGAAAGACGTCAGCAACCTCGAGTGGGGTTTCCACCAACGCCCGGCGGGTCCTCCCCACACTGCCGAGGCCGTCACACAAGGGGCTCCGAGAAACAGTCTAGAGAAGGCGGAGGACGGGAGACGGTGTGGGCACCGGGGGGCGCACCATGAGGCGGTGCCCCCGTGGGTCCCAGGCAGAGGAAGGACGCCAGGGGAAACTGAGGAAATTAAATCGATCGCGGCTCATCATTAAGGACCACCCGGTGCAGCGCCCCCTCCTGGGTGAGCCCGGTGCGAGGCGCTGACGGTGGGAATGGCAGTGTGGGCGCAGGGGGACGGGACGCCACACCGTCCTCACAACTGCCATGTGAGTCTGAAGCGAGTCTGAAACAAAAAGCTTACTCAAGAGTAAATGTAACTAGCAACGGCGCAGCAGAGAGAACGAAGCCTGTTTCTTCAGTTAGATTTTGAACACTCCCCTCCTGGCGTCCTGTGCCTTTTCCTGGGCTGGCGCTGGGCGTGGCGCTGCCGCGGGCTGACGGGTGCAGGAGGTGTTCCCGCCTCAGACCAAACCCACGGGGTGAGCTCCACGTGGCTGGGAGTGACCAGCGCGTGGCGACCCGCTCGGAGCACAGGGACGGGGCTGAGGCTAGCGCTGCTGGGGCCCCGCGCTCCCACCCGTGCAGAGCTCGGAAAGTCAGGGACATCCGGGCGCCGGACCAGGCCCCGCGTTCCCACCCGTGCAGAGCTCAGAAAGTCAGGGACGTCTGGGCGCCGGACCAGGCCCCGTGCTCCCACCCGTGCAGAGCTCGGAAAGTCAGGGACGTCCGGGCGCCGGACCAGGCCCCGCGCTCCCACCCGTGCAGAGCTCGGAAAGTCAGGGACGTCCGGGCGCTGGACCAGGCCCCGCGCTCCCACCCGTGCAGAGCTCAGAAAGTCAGGGACATCCGGGCGCCGGACCAGGCCCCGCGCTCCCACCCGTGCAGAGCTCAGAAAGTCAGGGACGTCCGGGCGCTGGACCAGGCCCCGCGTTCCCACCCGTGCAGAGCTCAGAAAGTCAGGGACGTCCAGGCGCCGGACCAGGCCCCGTGCTCCCACGCGTGCAGAGCTCGGAAAGTCAGGGACGTCCGGGAGCCGGACCAGGCCCCGCGCTCCCACCCCGTGTAGAGCTCGGAAAGTCAGGGACGTCCGGGCGCCGCGGAGCAGGCCCCGCGCTCCCACCCCGTGCAGAGCTCAGAAAGTCAGGGACATCCGGGCGCTGGACCAGGCCCCGCGGTCCCTGCTCAGGTGGTTGGGTCCCTGCGGCTGGCACAGAACCCCCAAGGCCTTGTGGCCAGAGGACGCGAGGACGGCGTCTTGCACACAGTGCTGCCCGTGAGCGCCTGCGGCCGGCCGGGCGTCCCCCTTGGTCTGGGCGCTCCTGCGTGGGGGCCGGGGCAGGGGTCTGGGCAGAAGAGGCTTGTTTGGGGGTGGCCCAGGACGCGTGGCGGGCAGTGGCTGGGAGCTATGCCCCAGGCACCTGGGGGCGGCCTGAAGGATGGGGCAGCACCATCTTGGGTGACAGGATGGGCACAGGCTGCATGTCCAGACTGACCTTCCCCGGACACACTGACCTTCCCTGGACAGACTGACCTTCCCCGGACACACCGACCTTCCCCGGACACACTGACCTTCCCTGGACAGACTGACCTTCCCTGGACACACTGACCATCCCCGGACAGACTGACCGTTCCTGGACACACTGACCTTCCCCGGACACACTGACCTTCCCCGGACACACTGACCTTCCCCGGACACACCGACCTTCCCCGGACACACCGACCTTCCCCGGATACACCGACCTTCCCCGGACACACCGACCTTCCCCGGACACACTGACCTTCCCCGGACACACCGACCTTCCCCGGACAGACCGACCTTCCCCGGACAGACTGACCATCCCTGGACACACTGACCTTCCCTGGACACAGTGACGGTCCCTGGACAGACTGACCTCCTGGCCGCAGGGTGGCCCGTCACTCCTGACGCTGTGACACTCGGCTCCCAAGAGTTAATTACGTCTTTAATCACACAAAGGTGTTCAATGCGCTTCATAAATCAGATGCTGGCGTGCTACCTCTTGGCATCTCACTTTGTTTACTTAGAGTGGTTTTGCAGAATGACCTTGTGGGGCGGAATGCTTGCGTGTTGCTGGGTGTTTAGGGGAAGATTAATAGATTATTTGTAACTCCTTAATGAAAACATTACGCGGCCCAGCAATGGGCTCTGTCCTGCTCATTTCCCGGCTACTAATTGCTGCAGCATACAGGGGCTATTATGAGACGAGCGCCATCTGTAATCTCAGCCACATTTATTAAAATATAATTGCTTTAATGAAATTCTTTCGGAATAAGGCACAGTTCAAACAGAACATGCTTTCATGAGGCGCGTTTCCTGGCCAATTACAGCAGTGATGCGGCCGCTCAGCTCTCAATTAGACGGCTCCTCGCGTAAACCCGCGGCAGGGACTTTCCCCGAGTTGCTCCGGGCTGTTGCGGGGCTGTTTGAGCTCGTGCACTTGGCCTTGGACACACAGAAAGTACAACCCACAGCGCGGAGAGCCACACCACGTGGCTCGGGGGGTGGCCATTGGAAAAGTGGGCAGGGGCGGCCCTTGGGATCATGACCCATGACCTCCAGGCTGACCTTACCAGGACCCTGTCCTGTGGCCGTGTTGCCCCAGACATGCCCGAGCAGGCGGTTTGTGGGTGTCGGGGGGCTGGGGTGTGCGTCTGATCTCCCGAGTCAGCCTGCAGGTCGGGCGGCGTTGGAAATAGACCTTTCACCCCAGGGCCAACCTCAGCCTTCCTCTCAGCCCCACACGAGGCACTTGGCTCCCCAGGACTCAGTTTCCCCTTCCGTACAGAGGGCTCCACTGGGTGATGCTAAGGTGGCTTCCCGCGCGGCCACCGTCCAGATGGGTGTCCCATTGGACTGCCCTCGCCCTGCTCCTTCCTCTCTAGAGCAAAGTCAACTGCACTTGCCATGGGAGTATCCAGCGCAAAATACCCGACACGCCCATTCGGCAAACGTCGGCTCTTCGCTTGCCCAGTGCCTGCGCCCTCCTTGTGGTGGGCATGAGCTCCCCGCAGCCCCTCACACCAGCCCGTGGTGCCGGATGTGTTCTCTCGCCCAGCACTGGGCACTTCTCCACTCGGGGGCTGGACGGGGCAGGGGTGGGTGTGGGAGGCTCCGGGGTCAGACGGTCATCCAGGGCTCCCGTGGTGAGCTCACCTGACTCGTGTGCAAGGTCGGAAACCCAGTTTCCAAGTGCTGCTGGTGGTGTTCTGTGCGCCGTGGTGCCCGCGTGCGCGGTGGCAGCGGGCCGTCTCCACCTCAGGGAGCAGGTCCTCCTCGTCCCGGCTGGCGGAGAGGCACGGACGGAGGTGGCACACTGGGCCTCGACTGTCCCTTGGTGGGCAGGACATGCGACTTGGGAAGTGATCACGGCGAGGAGACCCAGGTTACTTTTCCCCAAACACATCTGGGGCCGTTAACGTCATCGGGTCACGGCTCACTGCAGCCTCCGCCCCCCGCCCCCCCACGAGCCGGGGTTGCAGACGGGAGCCACCGCACTGGCCGACTGGGCTCGACTCTGAACCAGAAAGGTGCTCAGTGAAGCTCGGGGGCGCGGTGGGCCCTGCAGACCCCTGAGCATGGTGGGGTGTGTGGCTCCCCGGCCCTGCTCGGCCCCGCCCAGGCCTGTGCAGGGAGGTCAGGGACGGGCCGAAGAGGCCCCTGATGAGGGCAGAGCCGAGGTCGTGAGCGGCCAGCGGCGGGGGCGAGGCTGTCGGGGCTCCCGGCCCCTCCTCTCCAGAGCCTGGTCCAGGCCCGGGTGCCGGTCGGGCCAGCTGGGGGAGGGCTGGTTCTGCACCTCTGGGCTCTCGTTCCTCACCAGCCCCCACACGGGGCTGACGCCTCTGCCCTGCGTTCTGCGGGACCGACCGACGTCATCTGCTGGGCACCAGTGTGGCAGTCTGTCCTGCATTCCCTCCTCGTGGGTGGACGGTGGGGCGGTGGGTCCCTGCATCTGAGCCCCTCCCAGGCTCATGTCTCTGCGGGGCCATCACTTCACCAGCCCTACCCTTAGGGACAGAGAAACTGAGACCCAGGGAAGTTGCTGCAGGTCACCCGGCTAATTAGCGGCAGAGACTCTGGTGGTAGGTTCCATTACGACGCCGTGCGCCCACACGGCGGGTAGCGTGCAGAATCCAGGCAATAATTGGGGGAGTGTGCCAAGTGTCATGTGCCCGGACTCCTGACAGATCCAACACCGCCCAGACACCCTGCCCTCTCCTGGCGTCTGTTACCAGCGAGCTGGCCAAGCGCCAGCCTTCCAGGTCCCTTCTGGGGGGGGGGTGCTGTGGCCTCCCAGGTCCACAGGGGTTGGGTGGCCGCACCACCTGCTGTCCACGCTGTGCGAGGGCTGTGCGCCCTGACCGCTCCGCTCACGCCCCAGCTGCCAACGTCTCCTGCCTAGGCCAAGTCTGGGCCAGACCCCCATGGAGCCGCAGGGCCCCGCCCGGGCCGCCGACAGAGCCGCCATTGTGCCCCGGCCCTGCACAGGCCTGGCGCAGGCAGCCGCTGGCCGCTCTCCAAGCACGGGAAACCCAACCTGCGTGTTCTGGGAGGCACCCAGACGGGAGGTCTGGTCCCACGGTCTCCAGGAAGAGGAGGGGACCAAGGGCTTGGAGTGTGCCTTCGCGCACCACCGGGCGTGAAAACCTTCAGCTGCGCTTGTGGGTGGCCGAGTGGGCGCTCTGGGGACCGCAGGCCCCTCGGGGGTGACGTGCAGCTGGGGAGCTGGCAGCAGAGGCTGAGACCGGGCTGGGTGCCGTCCACTCTCCTCGCTCAGCCCCGGGGCCAGGGCTGTGCCCCAGGTGTGCACCAGTGTCATGGTGCTCGGCCTCCCCCTGTGCCCGTGTCCTGGCGTGCTGGAGGACCCGCCACAGCACTGGCACAACGTCCGGCAAGAAGGGAAGTAGCTGCCAAAACCGCTCACCTGTGCCCGCTGCCCTCCCGCTGGGACGAGCCCCTGCACACAGACCCCTTTCCCCGTTGCTGTGACGCCAGCAGGCACAGATGGTCGGGGTGGCGTCCGCCCAGGTGCTGGGCAGGGCTGGACACGAGGATTCTTGTTTTACCGGGAAACGCCTGTGAGGTGATGTGGGCGTCGGAGTGAAGGGTGCACAGGCTGGGCTGGTGCCGCGGCTCCTGGGAAGGAGGCGGCAGCCAAGCCCGTCTGTGGTCAACTGGGAGGGTCCCGGTCCTCCTGAGACGGAGGCCGAGCATCGAGACCCACGGGGGCCCAGGATCCAGCTGCCACCTGCCCGGCCTCACCTGCAGGCGCTCACGCGTCCCCCACCTCGCTGCAAACAGGATTAGGACGGCTCAGCAGCGCACGCCCCACTTCCAGTCCCGAGGAGGCACCCCCCGCGACGCTCCCTCCCCCACTAAGCACAACCACAAACCCCGGAAAGAGCAGAGCCTGAGGCAGCCACGGAGAAGGAGGAGGGAGATGGATGTGTCAGGGACCTCAGGCCTGGAGCAGCACATGGCTCAGAGCCTGCCCTGTGCGGGGCTGCAGAGGAGGGACACAAGGCCTGGCCTGGCCGTGTGGGCTTGTCCCTGCTCTGGTGGAGCCTGAGGCAGCAGAGGCTGAGACCGGGCTGGGCGCCGTCCACCCTCCTCGCTCAGCCCCAGGGCCAGGGCTGTGCCCCAGGTGTGCACCAGTGTCATGGTGCTCGGCCTCCCCCTGCGCCCGTGTCCTGGCATGCTGGAGGACCCGCCACAGCAGCTTGGGGTCGGCCGGAGCCCCGCCAGCAGCCAACGGCCAGTGAAGCGGTAGCCACGAGCTAGCCACGGAGCTGGCCACGGCCCAGGGCCCAGCCCCTCCCTGCCAGGAGACCCAGGTGCAGGTGGGAGTGAGGACCCTCTGCCCCAGAAGGCACCAGCAGGAGCTCAAATGGCACTGGATCCACCAAGCAGACTGATGTTCCCCCCGGCTCTGAAATGTGGCTGCCACATCGAAGCCTGGTCCCAGGCCTAGGCCAGAACCCTGCTGAACGAAAGGTTTAAACATGACCCAGGGTTTCCTGTCCCCACAGGCAGGATCCAGAGCAACAAAAAACACCTGTCACACCAAGAATCAGGAAAAGCACAAATTGAACCAGAAAAGACAATTGCCACCAACACTGAGGTGAATCAGACATTGGAAAAGATTTTGAAGAGCAAACCCTAAAAATGATTCCGTGGGTGAAGGGCTTCAGGGAACAGAAAGGAACTGACAAAACAGGGATGTCTGTGCGTCAGGGAGCGTGGACCCCACGCAAGCTCTTGGGGTCACGCTCGACGGCGGAAACAAAGACGGTGACGCGTCCGGCACAGTGGGATGTGGCTGATGTTTACGGAAGCTCACTCGGCAATCCGGACATGTGTCAGGCGTAGGTGGCAGGTTTCCGTGGCGCCAGCTCGGCTGCTGGAAACCAGGTAAAGTGATTTGCTCAAAACACTGCGGAGGAATCAAGAGGGAATCCTGGGAGCACACGCCCCGCAGTGCGGTCATAACGGGCCGAGCGCAGAAGTCGGGTGAAGGGGATGGGCCAGCGGGGACGGAGCCAGGCTCGAAGTCACAGCACAGCACATGGCAGGAATGCGCATAGCAAAAACACATGCGGCAGAAACACACACAGCCTTATCCAGGACGCTGGCTGTGTTATTACTAGTGTCCTGTGGCTGCAGGAACAACCTGATGGCTGGGGCTAAGGATGCACGTGGGCCCTTCTCCATGCGGTGGTCACACCGTGAACCCTTCACCATGTGGTGGTCACAAAATGGACCCTTCTTCATGTGGTGGTCACACAGTGGACCCTTTTCCATGCGGTGGTCACACCGCGGACCCTTCTCCCTGGGGGTGGTCACACAGTGGACCCTTCTGCATGTGATGGTCACACCGTGGACCCTTCTCCATGTGGTGGTCACACAGTGACCCTTCTCCATGTGGTGGTCACACTGTGGACCCTTCTCCATGTGGTGGTCACACAGTGGATCCTTCTCCATGTGGTGGTCATGCTGTGGACCCTTCTCCCTGGGGGTGGTCACACCGTGGACCCTTCTCCATGTGGTGGTCATGCTGTGGACCCTTCTCCCTGGAGGTGGTCACACCGTGGAACCTTCTCCCTGGAGGTGATAACACTGTGGACCCTTCTCCATGTGGTAGTCACACAGTGGACCCTTCTCCATGTGGTGGTCACACAGTGGACCCTTCTCCCTGGAGGTGGTCACACCATGGAACCTTCTCCCTGGAGGTGATAACACTGTGGACCCTTCTCCATGTGGTAGTCACACAGTGGACCCTTCTTCATGTGATGGTCACACAGTGGACCCTTCTCCCTGTGGTGGTCACACAGTGGACCCTTCTCCGTGTGGTGGTCACACTGTGAACCCTTCTCCATGTGGTGGTCACACCGTGGACCCTTCTCCATGTGGTGGTCACACAGTGGACCCTTCTCCCTGGGGGTGGTCACACCGAGGACCCTTCTCCATGTGGTGGTCACACTGTGAACTCTTCTCCATGTGGTGGTCAGACCCTGGACCCTTCTCCCTGTGGTGGTCACACAGTGGACCCTTCTCCCTGGGGGTGGTCACACCGCGGACCCTTCTCCATGTGGTGGTCACACAGTGGACCCTTCTCCCTAGGGGTGGTCACACCGCGGACCCTTCTCCATGTGGTGGTCACACAGTGGA